GCCATCGCTTACATCAGTCATGGACTTTGTTCAACATCGCTTGCATGTCATTTTCATTGGGTGAAATTAACACTATATCGTCAGCATACAACAGTATCGACAAATTTGAGTTTCCAATGCTAACACCAAGGTCAAGGTCCTTAACTTCCTGCACTAAGTCATTGATGAAAATAGAGAAAAGTGTCGGCGAAAGATTGTCGCCTTGTCAAACACCGGAATTACAACTAAACCAATCCGTCAAGGTATCATTCAATCGAATACAAGCGGTAGTAAATGCTTTTGATATAAATCTTCCTATCGATTTTATTTGAACGAAGCTTATACATTAGCATATCTCTAACAACAAAGTCAAATGCCTTTTTTAAATCGATATATTAACGTTTTTTGACAGTTCCTCACAATATAGTTTCGAGAAACAAGACAGCAGGCTTATTCCACGATAGTTAAGAGGACTTCGCTCATCGGATGATTTGTCTTTAAGAATTGGACAAATTATTGCCTGTCGCCAGATTAATAGAATAATACTAGTTTCAAATATAAGCTGAAACAGAGAATGAAGAACGTTTATTACAGATTCATATTTCAAGACTTAATACGGTATGCTATCGATTCCACAAGCCTTGCCATTATTTGCCACATGTATTAAACGCCTGATTTCATCGATAGTTGTTGTTGTATTCAGTTCCTGGTTTTCATCGTATAACGGCTCAAGTATACGATCTTCTAAAGAAGACTTATGTGATAATACTTGGCTATGAAAATCGTCATCAAACTCCGCCGTACTATTGTCCATGTTGTAAATATTATAAAAATCTGTTTTCCACCTGTTTAACACTGAATCATCATCAGTTATGATTTCTCCGTTTGGACTGTATAATTCCATTGGAATGGTTTGTACTGTCGGGGTCCTAGCTTTTTGATTTTGTCCCAGAAATCATTAGGATTCGATGTAACTATATTATCGATTTCCAAACAAAAAGATTGTCTGTAATGACGTTCACCTTGTCTTAATTTTCTATCGAATGTTTTTTTCGTCTGTTGAAATTCCTTCCAAAATCTCCCTCTGGTAGATGATCTTCCGTTAAAACTAAGAAACCGCTTTTCCTTGAGATGCATTGCGTTCCGCAGCTGGTCGAGTTCTTCATTCCAGAACGGTTTAGAACTTTTATGTCGTTTTCTTTTCTTTCTACTTGCATCAAATACTGGAATTTTGCAGTTCATTTCATCTACTATCAAAGTACAAAGATCCGAATAGATAATATCCTCGTAACTTTGAGTCTCCGTTGTGGTCTCAATACGTTGAATTAAAATTTGAAGTGCTGCTTTCCGTTGATCAGATCCGAAAAAGTCATTTGGAATTGATTTAAGCCTGAAGCGTTTGAACTTAACTAATTTCGAGCTACTATATTCGGATATTTATGTTATATCTATTGTTTTAATTTCTGCCAATAGAATAGAATGATCTGGGATTTTACTCCTGTCACCTAGAAATTGGAAAAGATAGTTCTGCTTTATTACAGATCGGGTAGTACTAACCTGGAATGAGGAGCACAGATCGAGAACATCGTGCTGGACACACATATAATCCACCACGGATTTCCCTCTTCCTGATATACAAGTGACATTATCTTTATTCGAGTCGTATCTACCGTTTAAAACACACGTTTTTGATTCATTCAAGAATTCTAAGAATGATTTTCCATGTTGATTGACTGTTTTGTCGATCGCTGTCCTGCTTCGTATTGAATCGAAATCAGAAAAGTCCTTTTGTGTACCAATTCGTGAGTTGAAGTCACCACAGATGACGATAACGTCACTTTCACTCTGATCATAAATATTTAGCAATAAGTGCGAAAAAACGTTTTGTGAATTTTGGCCCTTAATAGAACGTTCTGGTGACAAATAACAAGAAAAGACTGTAAAACTAAAGTCTGTTGATTTGGTCGTAAATTTTACACAGAAAAGTCCTTCAAAATTGGCGTCGACCACTTCAGAATTGTAATAATTTAGAATCCATTGTTTTATTAATAATCCTACACCACCTGAGCTTTTCGGTGCATCACGATGAATATGTTGTCTATTAAAGCCTTTCCATATATATCCATTCATGTGCAAATTGTCACTTGCAATAAGATGTGTTTCACACACACTGAAAATATCAGCATCGACGGTTTCCACTATTTTAGTCCTTAGTAGGTTGTTGTTAACAGCCAAACCACAAACGTTTAAATGACCTAGTTTTATCGTTCCATTGGGCCTGGTACACTAACTGTGTTTGTTCGGAGCATCGACTTCGTTCTCTTCGTTCTTTTGAGTTTTCCGCAATATTCTGCCGTTTCCCGTTGACCTAAACTGATTCCCCTATGGGAGTTCACGAAGTATTGCGCAAATATTATTTAGTTTGTGTTTATTGCGGAGAATAAGAATTTTCTGATCCGTGTTCTCAAGACTCATATTCAATAAATCCCGGTTTTCCACGAAACCTTGGTTTAAGACGCGTAACAGCAGCGATTTTAACTTCATTCCAACTGACTGTCCTAGTTTATGAATTATATCATTCATTATCTCATTTAAATTCTCATTTTCGGCAAACTAAATTTTTCACAATAACGGTAACTGTATCATTGCTCAAATGATTAACTTGTGTATTTGTGTTAGAGTCATCGAATGTAGGATTAATACTCTCGGTTTGGGTATTTAAATTGTTCATGGACCCTTTCATGTCGTTGAAGCGTATAGAAAGTGAGTAACAGAATTTGCTAAATCGTCAATACGTGATGACTCTCTCGCTAAATCAAGGTAAAGTTCTGATTTTAAAACCTGCATATTTTGATCAATTGTAGACAGAACATCATTTCAAAGTTTATCGATTTTTGACTCGAACATTTTTTTCATACTTTGTTTTATCTCATTAACACTAGAAACTAAAAGTTTTATTGAGCCTGAAATATCGTCTGCATTGGCCATTTTGGATTGTTTACATTCGGGGCGGGTTGTCTCACCTTCTGAAGATTTGGATCGTTTTTGAAATGTTTTAGGAGTATTTGACATTATAAATCTATTCAAAAAATTGTCTCAAAATCCACAGAAATTTTCGATGGCTCACGATAAATGTTTTATAGGAAATGGTCAAATTTTTTTCACCTGATTTTCACACCTGTTGACACCTGTCCGCCATCTTTTCATGCTATCTTTTAATTGCTTACATCAACGACATTCGTTCTTTGATGGTGAATGTCTCTTTTGCAATCATTCCACACCTTTTCGTTTTTATATAGTGAAACCTGTGTATAAAGGGCACATTCAAGACCACAAAAAAGTTACATTTTAAGGCAACCATTATATTGAGATTCAAATTGCATTGGTATTACTAAAACGGGACAAGACTATGGTGACCAAGCATTGCAGGAGTTCACTCAATGAAGGTGTCCCAAACCTTTAAAGCCGGCTGACGGTATGTGCATTTGCAATGGCTATAAAAGTTTGCATTCAAGTGATGGTTTAAAAGGTCTGTCGACATTTGTCAAAATACTTTTTTTCGTTGTCCTATTAGATTTCAAGCTAAACATAAATGATTCTTGTGAATATTTAAGCCCACAGTTAATATTTCACTAGACGAACTACACCTATTTGAACATTTTATTCCTGTCAGTTAATAGAAGGTAAAAAAAACACAGTTATTTTGTAGTGCATTTCTTTTATACAAAAAACGCAAATTAACAAAATTGCACCTGCTCTACCCAAAATTGGTTTTTATAGTCTAGTGTTTTACTTTTGGGACCAATTATATCAAAATTATATAAAACTCTATCGGCCCTTACTCAAGATGTGGACAATTTTATGTTAAGGGGTCTACAATTCAATTTGACAAATTCAGACAAGCTAATTTTTCACCTTTTCAAACAGGACAAATTCACTGCTTTAACTACAAATTCATGCCTAAATGTTTTGTACCTGTAATTGCATTCCCCTACTTACTATTTTATGCAACTTAGAAGAGTCGTTCTAATACGTCTGTAGGGGAAACTTGTTTCCAGAACTTCATGATTTGTATAATGTATTCAAGTTGAATGGTCATTTTATTATCCCTTTTAATTGTAATTTGTAAGAATCATAGCAACTATACATAACAGATTCCCTATTCCTTATAGTGCATGTTTGATACATGTTTGTGTGGTCTTTCCCCTAATGGTATTCAAAAGATAAGGAGCATACGCCAAGGAGTCAAATTTATGAATGGAATACATAACTAAGACGGGTAGAGTAAATGGAATCAAACCGTATTTAGCTGAAACGTAAGCTTCAATCTAAAAGTCAAACACTGTAGAAAAACATCTTTCATAATTTAAGAAAAATTAGTATCATTAATCAATCACTGTTATCTCACTAGTACATGCTTCAGTGGCTCAATTAAAGAAAAGATAATGATAATCTGCATTTTTGTAAAACAAATACAACTTTTTTGTTTTAATATAATATTATGTGTTTCAACTGTTTCATCTATAATCTATTGTGTAAGTTGATTCATCCCGCCCGACATAACTTGCACTACTTACTACTGCTCCAGAATCAAATTAAAAAGTGTTTGTTACACTTGTGGGTCAACTGATACAAAATGTACAGGGAAAAAGCAGCACAATTTCAATCAGTGCATCCGATATGCAAACCCTGCAAAGACGCAGGCCACTTGTAAAGCAAAAAAGGGGGGAGTTAAAAAACAAAAAAAAGAAAAATAATTATGTTCTGTGCATTTCATACTTTAAATCTTAATGTCAAATGTTCTACTCACAATGGTTGAAGATGTTATACTTTTCAGTCCTTTTTTTATTCTACATGTTTTTGGAACCTTTTTTTAAATGTTGTGTGCCAAGAATTCTATTAAGTTAACACTTTTATCAATATTTATAGATTTTATCAATATTTTATAAAAAAAAAAATTATTTTACATTCTTATATTAAAAAAAATATTTTTTATTAATTTTATTTTTATTTTGAATTTTTTTTTTTTTTTTTGAAAAGTTAAATTTTGTTCGATACGGTTCTGATATTTTCAGACATTTTTTGTTTTTTTAAATTGTTTTTTGTAAATTTTTAAATTCATTCAATTTTTCTTTTGATTTTTAGAATAAAACTGTTACATTTCATATGTTTTTCTTTATAATAAGCATATACATGTGGTGAGTGCATAGAATATGTGAAGGTTTCATATAAATGTGCATGGGACATGTTTATTAAATATATAAAGGAGCAGAAGTTGCTTTCTCATCCGGAACAATTGAGTGTACCCAAATTGATTGAAAAGTATGGTCAGTCATCTTCATTTATAGTTAGATATGTTGGGTTCTCTTTGTATGTTTGTTTTAATATCACTCCTAGCATTTTTCGTCGTGTTTTCTAAGTTTCTTGTTTGTCCATTCTTGTTTGATCCGCCAATATTTTTTTTTTTCTATATTAAGATGCAAGACCCTGCGACTCATTTCACAAAAAATCTTACGAGAAAAAATACTCGTAAGTCATGAATATTTCAGTATAACTTACGACTGATTTTAGTCTTAAGATTTTTTGTGAAAAGAGCCCCTGTTTTTTTTTTTCTTTGTGTGTGTTTTTTGTTGTTTTTTTTTTAATTATTTTTGGGGACTGGCTGGTAGGTTTTCATAAATAGGGTTGACGCAAAAAAAAGGAAAAACGACACTGACACGGCCTATATTCAAGTTAAGAAAAATATATACTTTTTTTTATTAATGATGGTGCCAAACTGGCCTCTCCCCAGTTTTCTTCATTCTAATCCTAGGTGCCAAACCATACGAGATTATTAACATTATCATTGTATATTATGTGAATATTTGTTCGTTTATGACTCATTCTGTTTTCATTTTTGAGTAACGCATTTTTTTAGAAACTTGCACCATTAATTTTACATTGACCAAAATTATTCGCAAATCCGATATTTATGAATGTTTTAGGCATCGAAAAGTCGTCGCATCTGGCATGTGTTTAGTCTTTCTGCACAAATTTGGCAACAGATAGGACTTTATTGTCTAGGAAAAGAAAACCAACCTTGCATATTGTTATGTCGATATGTAATTCCATCCAAAAGCCAATCGTCCTATACTGAAAGTTGCTGATTTTTCTTTTAATTTATCAACCACGTACAACGTATGTAAAATTTAAACATTTTTGCAATAATATATCATGAATATTTGATGTAAAGCATAAACTTACTTTCATACTACATTGATAATTTACATTGGCCCCTGCTTCAAGCAATCTTTCAACTTGTTCTGTACGTCCAAGAAAGGAAGCCCAGAAAAGATCCTACAAAAATATAATGAGTTTGATATATTTTATCTGGCAGTTAAAAGTTTTAAACAATCTTTAAACATATATTCGTAACTTTAAATCTTACCTAGAACTTCATAGTAGAGATGCAAAATAATGTGCACGAACTGTTTCTAATAACGTTTCCTACACCAAAAATGTTAACAATTAGCGTATCAAGACTAGGTGTTTCCTAACCATCTTACCCAGAGAACATATGTTACTGTTATCAATGTTTATTTCTACAAATAAACGGCGTCATTACAAATAGAGGCCAAATATTGGAAATCCAAAACACGTCTATTAAAAGTTCGCTGTACACTAAAGAATACCTTCCTTTCAATATGGAAAACACAAGCACATTTTTAAATGTAAGACACAAGACAAATTGCTTACTTATTTTGATAGCACCAAACGATGTAAGGTGAAATTAAGAAACCTTGAAATAGCAATCTTTCCCCAATCACAAAACCAGATATCAAGGAAAATGATTATGACCAGCATATACAAGCTGGTCCAATGTTGAAGAAGGTTTTTTGGGTATCAACAGCGTAGTAGCTCAGTATTTTCGTTTTGCCATGAACATTGAAATGTGTAGTTTAAATAAAAGGATGTATTAGCCTCATTCATAGTTTTAAAATAGACTGTCGTCTTAATGAAGAGATATTTTCATGGGACATCCAATACGGAACTGCTCTTGTCAAAATTTTGAACTGAACGATTAGCTTGTACAATGTTAGTTTTCATACTCATTTGGGTTTCAATTTGTATCATTTTATCACTTCGGAAAGAGGATAATAAAAATTCAAAAATTTTACTTGAAACGCAAATTTCAGCCAGTTCAGCAAATTGTTTAGATGGAGAGATACATGCATTGCTTTAGTTGGTCTATCTTAATTAATATAAGTTCGTTTTTAACCAAAACACTCATTTTTCAGCATTCAGAGATAAAAGGGGGACTCGTATATAAAAATTCCAAAATCTCACTTGAAATGCAATTTCAACTAGCGAGGTTGTCTAGTTGGGCAATGCATACATTCCTTTTCATATTCACGGTATTACATATAGGTATGGTGTTTACCAAATACACTTGCTTGTTTTCCAAAGAGCAGAGAAAAACGGGAAACACAATCATTAATACTAGTTTATGTTTGGACTGCTATAATTATATTGAATGAACAATCTCGGATAAAAAAGAAGACATATAGATAAAACATTTTTATAATTTATAATTGTAGATATTAACAAATTAGAACGGATTATACTGGAAAGAGTCTCATATTGGTTACTTTCATTATTCATTTATCTTAAATCATGTTTATATAACGCATTTTATATTTTGTATATGTTACTTTCTATCCAAATTGAGCTTTAATTCAGTGAAATCGTGTTTGAACATGCAAATTTTAGATATTAAAACCTTAACAGTGCGAATTGGTCGTATTTTTTCTTAGTAAACATGTTTCCAATGAAAACTTTGTAGGTATCAAATTACAGTCTTAAATTGCTACAATAGGGTATATCAGTTTTCAGGTCTGATACTTTATAGACTATTTTTTTACCACTGTACATAGATTTATCAAATGTTTTAGAATGTCTATGTTTGTCATACATTACGCATAAAACTTTGAATACATATATCTCCGTGGTCTGTGTTTTACAAATCGAACCCAACTTAAAACAAACAGCTAACATACATTGTACATTTTGAAAAATTAAAATGTTCAAGTCAATTATATTTCATATAAAATGTTTAAGTTCTGATCTCTAAATAGATTTCATAAAACAAACACAATACATGAAAGCAATATTAGTGCACAGTTACTAAAATATATGGTCGGCTGTTATTCAGCATGCCCACATTTCTCCTTTGTATAATAAAAATGAGATGCAGGTATCATAAATTACAGTGCTTGCATTTCCTATTATAATACCGTGGTGTCCTTTATCAGTAAACATGTAAGCGTGTTGTCGGCCTTGTTTATCATTAAAGATATATTATTGTCGAAAAGAATATCTGTTGAAGTAAATTCCGTGTCGTCAATATCATTGTATGGTGCAGAACAAATGTTATCGCTCAATTCAACTGATACCAATTTGTACTTTTTTGTGTATTTCTTTCAGCAAACCATAACTTCAACACCAGGAACAGGAATGGATGAAACGCATGCTGTGTTACATTTTCTGTCAATTGTAAATACCAAACAGTAAACGGTTTCTAAGGATATGAAAATATACTTTCATCTAGTTAGAAACTGTGTCAATGTGAACTCGCCGAAAACTTGTGTCTATCACACACTTTTCAATTTTGTTCTTCCAAATAAACAAACAGATTAGCATGTGCATTAAACCACCGTCCATGTTTTTAATATTCTTGTAGATATGGTTAAAAAATATTATGTACAACAGATATTATATAAATGATCATATTATTTTTTTCGTATTTTTATCACTTAATGTAATAATCATTTCTATGAAAACGGATTAAGCATCAAATAGGATATACACTTTCCTTTTACTTTTTGGACATAAATGATCATTTGCGTCTGAAAATAAAGTGGTGGTCATGATATTTTAAAACCCAATAGTATCCAGACGCTAGGTTTATAGCTCGATACTGTTTTGTAATTTCAAATGGAATTTGTGTTAAAACTTCCCTCATTGAACCATGTCTTGCATTTATTTTGTACGTTTCCTTAATTTTTAAGATATTCTATTTCAGTATAAGTTTCGGTTTTTAAAACTTTATGAAATCTTTTCGTGTGTCTAATTACTTTTGAAAGTAAGGCCTAAAAAAGGGTAATTGGTGTTTTTTTTATGTTTCTGATATTGATGGATAGACACGTCACGCAACTGAGGGATGTACAATCATTAAGAAGCTACTGCGCCATAATATATTGCTAACATCTTTCGAAAGTCTGTTATGTTTGCGGAAGTTCTATTAGGGGTTATGAATACAATGATAATATATGGTTTACTGTTTTTAAATTTTTCTTATTAACACATGCATTATTAATGTGTCGGATAAAACATATTTAATTCACTGTTTCACTAACACTTTTAAAATAAGTAGCTATAAATAATGTTACCACATCAGTTGTTGTCATGCTTTTCATAAATCAATTACCCCTGAAATGAGAATATTAAATATATATTATTAAACAAATAAAGACAGCAGTCCCAATGAAAGGAGAAGGAATTTGCATGTCCAGTGTCAACGTTTCCTTTCAAGAGTATAGCTTTACGAGACGCATAAAGCTTCAATTGTTATCATGCACAATAGTCGGTAGTTATATTTACAAATTTAACTTTGGGAAACATTTGACTGCTTATCAATTCTAAATGAGATATCTATTGAGCATACAAGCAAGTTTATTTAATCGGTGCTTAACAGGACAGACTTCTGCATCTGTGTTTTGTTCAAATCCTTCAGATTTGTTTCTAATATAACAGACGTATGGATAACTGATTCTTTTACCAGTCGTAGAAAACAGGTTTCTACAAAGTCAGTGATATTGTAATGTCTTCTTTTTACCGGTCCGTGATAGACCATACATACAGATTCTCCTCCAGAGGATAACAAAGTAAAAAACTCACAATAGTTTACGCAATACAATTCTTTTTTTATTGGTACAGGACGTTAATACGATCAAGTATTTTTTAACATTGATTTTATAACTTTCTGAGTTATATGTTGATATGTTTTCAATAAGAATCTAAGGTTCAATCTATCTTAGACTAGGCTACCCTTAGCTAGATTTGGATATTTTTAGCGCCATTATGATTACAGATCTGCTCCTCGAGTTTTAAAGTATGATTAACACCCTTGGTTTTCAATAATTATAGTTGTAAAGTTACTTCTCCAGAAAAGTGCTTCGGAAGCACCAAATGTATAATGTGTAATTTTTTATTTATTACTGGACTGATAACGCTGCTGATGGTATGCTACTCCCATGTGTAAAGCTTCGGTACTGACACTATTGTATTATACATTTCTTAGATTCTCCGTTGATAACAAAATTTGTTTTTATTATTTTGAACATTTTTTATGAAGATACATCCAGAAAGGCTCAACTGATTTATCAACATTCTCTAACAGACGTAATGTAAATATGTCGTGATCGGTCTTGGAAATACACTACCTTGCACAATGCAAAAGTAAGTATAATTATCATCAAAATGAACGACCAAACGTATTGCTTTAGAATTAATATATTCATGGTTAGTTATGAAGTAAGCTGTTGAAACAAAACCAATGGTAATACCGACTAAGACAATATCCAAGAATCTTAAGTTGACTTCAATCTTCAACACTGAATTGATATTTTGTGCATTATAATTGATACAAAGGTTCACGAATTTAACGGGGACAGTTCCTTAATTTACAAAACCCATTGTAAAATTACAATGTGAGATATCTTTGTAGAAAACAAACTTCCAAAAAAAAAATAGTATAACAAAATTACTGTACTCCAAGGTAAATTCAAAAAAGGCAAGTCCATAAAAACTGAAAAAAATCAAACGTTTTTTTTAATTGTATTAATTTTTATCTGAAAGAACTCGAAGCATTGAAATACTTATATATAGACATAATCTATAATATAAGTATTAACATAACATTTGTGTATAGCAGTCTAAAGCTAAAATATTAAATACCCTACTTTTATGCATATATGGTAATCATTCAGTTGATCATACTCATATTTTATCTGATAATATATTATTAAGTATTAATATAATAATTTATACCTTGCATGTTTAAAAGACGGACTTACCGTCAATAATAACTACCCCAAGAAGTTTGGTATATATGTAATTTCAAAATAATTCCATATAGTTTTCTTCAGTCTCGATTCGTGTATCTTTATGCTGTAACATTTTCTCAAATACTTACAGGTATGTTATGAAACTGTTTACATTGTTTAAGCAATATAACAACTTGTTTACTCCTTAAACACACATTAGTTACTTCAGGTGACCGAATAATCTATAGATATATAACGAAACGTCAAAATTAGACGACACCGGGAAGTTGACAACGGATAATTTAAATATGAATACAATCCATTCATAACGAATGGTTTAGTTTTATTTATGAAGGAAACAAGGACATTATACAATTAAAAAATTTCATACTTGTATACTATATATCTTAAAACCACGACATAAAATGTTTTAGATTAAGGTAGTGTAGCCGTGCGTTTTAACTCGTATAACACATCTACACAGCAACACATAATGGAAAAAATCAAAACAAGGCAATTTTGTGCAGTAAATATTCTTTTTTAGGAAGATTCAAAATTATTGATTATAAATATTTAAAAAAAAATAGATTTATAATGCCACGTCAAACAAATGCTTATTTCGTCTGTAGACAAGCAAACCCGGTAGAAAAAAATAACAAAAAAGATCATAAACATAATACATAAATATATGTTCATTTTGTGCAACGATAAGTGCACCCAAAGAGCAAATGTTTTTATATATATATTAGTATTATCCCGTGTTTCGATCAGTATAGCGGGAAAATGTTGTATTCTTGGTATGGAATCGTTAATTTTTGGTATGCCGATGTTAATCTATCCAATCAGGGGGCTGAGTTGTGGTCTTATATAAGGTTTTTTTTTGTGTGGTAGTTTCACTTTCTAGCCGTCGTATTGACCATGTAAACTTATGGACGCCAATTTACAGCAAGTTATTCAAACAGAAGTACAAAATGCCGTTCTATCTAAGCAGGACCAGTTGTTGAACAACATGACGAAGTTACTTGATTCACGTCTGGAGGGTTTCCAAAAGAGAAAGTGCTGTTAGATACTCAGATAGCAAGAATGGACGAATCACTAACCGACAGTTACAAATTTCGAAAGAAGGGGAATAAGGAGCAACACAAGCACAACCAAAAAGTGTTCGTTAAAATTAGAGAAGCACACGCTGAATACGAGACCGACAACTTGACGCAGTCCAACATTAACAATGACAAGAGAAAATTTCTGAAGGTATGGACTTGATTAAAAATCGACAAAAGCTGATAAAACTTGCCGATTCATCAGACGCGGGATGGCGCGTGGTAGATGAATACGTAACTAACCCACTCGTAGAAGATTCCGAGGACGAGAAGAAGATGTATAAAGCGCAAAATAGAGCAGAAAGCAAACTTAAGAAGGAAAAGTTAAAAAGACGCCCAGACCGCAAAAGCGTGCCATACACAAACAGGCCCCAGCAAAAACAGCAAATTCGACCCCGCTGAACGTTAGTGGTGTATCCAGGTCTGATGTACGACCCGGTAGATGCTTTCATTGTAATGAGTATGGGCACTGGATTAGGAATTGTCCAAAGTCTGCTGCAGAGCAAAAACACAAGATAAGTATTGATACTACTATATGTAAAATCGATAACGTAAAACTAAATACACACCCAGAGTTAGATCTCGCATCGGGTGAACTCTACTCAATTAGTAATGTAAATTCAATAACATAGACATCACGTGCTGTCAGTAAATGAACAATACACATACTACTACTATTATAAGAAAAAATAACGGTACAGGTGTAGGTCATTTAAAAGAGAGCTTGAGCAAATGGAAGAAAATAGGTGCCACGGATTTTGTAATAGATATTTTAGCAAACGGGTATAAAATTCCTTTTAGTACAATTCCATGCATGGTTGAATTACAAAATAACAAATCGGCACGAGAAAATCCCGGTTTTGTAAAGAGCGAGATTGAAAAACTGCTGGAAAAAGGATGTATTACTCGAGTGTCTCGTAAGCCATATGTAGTTAATCCTCTAACTGTAGCTCATAATAGAGGTTCAAAACTCAAATTTGTATTAGATGCAAGACATATCAATCCACATGTCGTTAAATTTAAACACAAATACAAAGATGCAAAAACTGCTAGACAACTATACGATAAAGGAGATTTTGTATTATCTTACGATTTAAAAAGCGCATACCATCACATAAGTATTTTTGAAGAAAACACTACATATTTAGGTTTCAAATGGGAGCATGCATATTATGTGTATAATGTTGTGCCTTTTGGGTTGTCAACTAGCGGATATATTTATACAAAGGTAGTCAGGGAGAATATCAAATATTGGAGAAGTACAGGTTTAAAAATCGTCATGTATCTAGACGATGGCCTCGGCGGGGGCAAAAACATGAAAAAAGCTGTGTTAGCGAGCAAAAACATTCACTCCGATTTGGAGAAATTTGGTTTTGTTCTTGCAGCAGAGAAGTGCAATTGGGCCCTATTCAAAGTTTAGAATGGTTGGGTTTTCATTGGGATATGACAGAAGGGGATATAAGAATTACCGAAAAAAAGAATAGAAAAGCTTTTAAAACTTTTAGAAGTTTTCAGGACACAATTTCACTACGGGATTAGGCTTTTCAGGGTGAAATTCATTGCAAGTATAGTAGGACAGATCATATCAATGCAGCCTGTATTAGGAGATCAGGCACGTTTAAGAACAAGGTATGCATCAATGTATATTACAAAGGGAAAGTTGGAACGCTCAAGTACTAGTTAGTACGGATGCATTCAAGGAATGCATTGTTTAGGATCTCGGTTAAGTCAGTTGACATATAATGAAACACAAGATTATTATGTGTTCAGCGATGCATCTGGTACAGGTTTCGGTGGTTTTGTTACCACTGGTTCAGAGGACGAACCTTTGGAAATGTTTGGTAGTTGGTCATTGACGGAACAGTCCGAAAGTTCGACCTGGAGAGAGCTCGAGGCTGTAAAAAAATATTGATAAATTTTGTCAATATTCTTACTGGTAAGATTATCAGAGTGTTCACAGATAACCTGAATATCACACATATACTTAATATTGGTAGCAGGAAGATAGTTTTGCACAAGAACGCTTTTAAGTAGAGCTTGGTTTGGATACCACGAGACACAAACCAGTATGCAGATACTTTAAGTAGGGCAACAGATTGTGATGACTGGGAAATACAAGATGAGGTTTTTCTGTACCCTAATCATGTTTGGGGTCCACATGACATGGATAGGTTCGCGCATGATTATATTGCCAAGTGCAAGCAATTTAATTCAAAGTTTTGGTGCCCCGGGACTGCTGGGATAGACTCGTTTCCAGTAGAATGGGTGGACATAACAATTGGGTAGTTCCACCACCAAGTTTGATTCCAAAGGTAATAAATAAGATTAGTATAGAAAAATGTAATGGCACTTTAGTCATCCCGGAATGGACATCGGCGCCATTTTGGCCCATGTTGGTGGATCGACTTGGAAATCTTAAGGATTTCATAGTTGATAGCAAGTTATTTCAAGGGGAAAATCTGACTAAAAGAGGCAGAGGTCAGTGCTGAGTATTTGGACAACAGCGCTTAAAATTTAGATAAATCACTATAAGAATAGAATTTTAGTTTCCAATATACTTATGACGTTATTTATTTATTTATTGGCAATGATGATTTTGAGTTTTTTTAGGATTTTTCAGATATGATGAGGTCAGTTTCTTACGTTTTTGTGATGTTAGAGTACACGAGTCTCATTTAATTTTGTGTATTCAAAAAAGTAAAACCGTCCAATATAGACAAGGTTCTGAAGTCTTGATTTCTAAAGGTATTTCATCTGCTTGTCCTTACACAATGTTTATAAGGTACACTAGGTTAGCAGGGTTTGGTGATTCTGGTCAACAAAACTTTTATTTATTTCGGCCTATTTATAGATCTCGTAATAAATGCAAGCTCATTACTAAAGATAAAAAACTACGTTACACGGCGACTAGAGAGATTCTTAAGAGAATCCGAACAATTTGTCCAGAGGGAAACATATGTCTTCATTCATTCAGATCCGGTGGGGCCATGATGGCGGCTAACGCTGATGTTAGTGACAGATGCTTAAAGAAGCACGGAAGATGGAGGTTTGACTCTAGTAAAGACGGTTACATAGTAGATTCCACTGAGAAACGTTTGAAGATATCTAAGGTATTAGGCCTATAGATTACCCCTTTCTTTGATTTTCTGTCACGTACGATGGGCTGTCGGCAAATTTGAATTTGCGTTTGAGTTTTATTTTTCTGCCATGCGTACAAAAAGGTGTTGTTAGTGTGCTGTCAATGGCAGAAAAGGGTGTCATTTGTGTGTCTGTCGTCTGTAGTATAGAGAATACTAATATTTTCCCGTGTTTCGATCAGTAATGCGGGAAAATGTTGTATTCTCGGTATGGAATCGTTAATTTTCGGTATGCCGCTGTAAATCTATCCAATCAGAGGGCTGAGTTATGGTCATATATAAGGTGTTTTTTGTGTTGTAGCTTTACTTTCTAGCCGTCGTATTGACCGAGTAAACTCCAAATTTTTTAAATGATGTTTATATATCTATTGTTAGACAAATATTTTTGTTTTTCGTAAACTGTTTGAACCGACGAGGTCCGACGTCATTATCCTGAGATAGGCTCGAGCATTGATACCGGTTTCCGTAATACGATTTTTCCTGGTCGGCCTTGGCTATCAATGAGAGGTAATTTATTAAACGTACAGCTTCCAATATTTTGCTGTGTTTTGTACATAATGATATGATTGGTGAATGAAAATGCAAATTGATTACTGATTTATATGTTTTATTTGATGATATGTGACGATTATATATTATGTACAATTATATCTGGCGTCCATCACATACGACGGGCTGTCGGCAAATTTGAATTTGCTTTTGGGTTTTATTTGTCTGCCATGCGTACAAAACGGTGTTGTTTGTGTGCTGTCAATGGCAGAAAAGGGTGTCATTTGCGTGTCTGTCGTCTGTAGTATAGAGAATATATATATATATACTTACGTACCATTAACATTCTATGACAATATATTTGTTATTACGTTCGAAACTAAATCAAATTAGTAAACTAAGTTTCAGCTGATCAATATAAATGTTTTGTAGTATTCATCGAAATAAATTGCCATTGTAATAAGCGTTCCTGCATGTGATTCATCAAAGATGAGGACTTCGATATAGTTGTCTCCTTTTTTCTGGTAAGTATTGAA